TATTTTTAATATTTATACTATCTTTATCAGTGCCATATTAATATTAGAAGCTAACCTATAATAGCTAGGCTATTGCTTAGGGTCGACAAGTTTAGGGGGCGGCATTTTTTTTTAAAAAAGTTCTAAAGATAACCAATTTTTTTGTCAGATGTAAACGTACAATAAAAATAAGGTTCTTAAATCCCTATATAAATGACTTTTTTTGTTCTTTACGCCAATATGGTTATTGGACAGTTGAAAGGGAGCGGTAAGAATTTCACTGCCTAAGAGCGGCAAAAACCTTAATCCGACCCTGATCTTTACTTTTAAATTTACATAATTACGAAGAGTATTCACTAACTGATAAATAAAATATAGCACTATTCATCCTACATGCATATTGTTTTAAAAAAAAGTAAATAAATGGTAATATTTGTGTAAAATATATCAGCAATAAAATATTAAGAAAGAATATTCTCGAGAGAAAACTTAAAAAAGAAAGATATGTAAAATGTAAGAATGTAATTTGAGACCTTAACCCTGAAAATGTCCTTGCGACTTTAATTAATAAGTGTAATGTTGACCCTCACCCTTCTTTCTGCTCGAGCAATTATACGGGGAGCTACATTGCAATGGGAAAAAACATTGAGAATAATGTACGTTGTGAACACGGCGTAATCCTCGAAGCGTTACGAGCCGAGCTAACTGGGCTAACAGTTCCCAAGCAGAAGTGTGATCTCTTTTCGGGCGAAGCATTACAAGATGTTGCGATATCGCTCGAAAAATTCAAAATGCGGATTCGACAGACCTACATGGCCCTAAGGGATTTTTTTACACTTTTTTCATATCTTGTATATCAAATTTAATGGAGACTTCAATTCTTATATCATTTAATTTAAATAATTAAGAAATTAAATTAAATTATCTCTAATACTTGTAATTTTTAAATAATTTTCGGCACAAACTTATATATCAATAAAACGAAAAAAGATTTACGAAAAATTATTATTTTTTACATATAATAATTAATGTTTACGGAGAATATATTTCTTCATGTGCATCTAATTAAAAATAAATACATCTAATTAGTAATTATAATTTATAATATTATATTATACTAAGAACACTTAATGTGAATGTAAGTCTGTATCTATGATATTTGACAAAATATGTATTAATTGGCGCATAAAATTAAATTTATTGTAAGGGAGAATGTTCTAAATATCGGACCGTCTTCCAAATTGGACTTTTTTAATTTAAATAAATAATACTGTTAAGCAGATTTGCGTGCTATTTATAACGTAAAATTCTTATAAGACACCGAACATGTGACAGCAGTTTGGCAATACTCTGTCATAACGTTTATAGAATAATGTGTATTTTCAGCTATCATGCGAAAATTTTTTTTAAAAAGAAAATTCTTGTAAAAATGATCGGAAAATGCATTTTTACATTTTCCATTATAGTTCGACACAGGTAAGAGATACGTCAAAATGGTCTGAAGCGAAAATAAAGGAAATTAAATGATCTTTCAAACGGCACCGTTGGTTTTTATGATCGGACTTTTACTTACGCCTTATAGAGAACAAAAACTGCTAATAGGTCCGATTTAAACCACTCTCCCCTACTTAAAAGCTACATATAATAACTGTGAAACCTTGCTTGTTGCATCGACACAATCTTCTAAGTCTTCTGGCTGTGCTTCGAAGATTACAAGTATACAGTACAAATATTGTAGTTGTATACTTACTTCACGCATATGGAACGTGACTTCTTATTTTTGATACTTTAAAACATTCTGTACGTCGTACTTATATGTTGTAATAGATACGCGAAACCTCTTGATAAGAAAAACAGTTTTAATATACTTGTGCGTTGAGACAAATTTATTTACTTACAAGAAATACAATATGTTAAATTGTTGTATGATTGTTATTGTTTAAAATGATTAGTATCTGACTTCATGCAAATTAAATATTACAAAAAAGTTGTGTCAAAATTTTAAATAAAAGTAAGAAAAAATTTATATATTCCTATTGCAACATTAAAAATTTTAGTTTAATTAGTACAGATTTTTTTGTATTTTAAGAAGCTTTTTAATTTCAGTTTATCACTATCTTTTTTTTATTTATGTTTATTATTTTATTTACAATCTTATGGATGGCAATAAGACATTGACAAGCGTAATTGAAAGAGACGTGGAGAATTAAAATATCGGCTGAACCGTTCACTCGCAAATGTACCCTCGTCAAGATGCACCGGCGGCGTGGCGCAGCGACGCGACGCTCGCTCGGTGTTTTCCCTGGAGAACAAGGCGAGTCACTGTATACTGCGCGCGATGCATTTTACTCCTCGGCACGTGCGTTTTTGCCGCAGGCTTCCGGTCCAGTTTTTAGCTCCGTCCGTCCTCGGCTTGGCCGACCCTTCGTTAGGCTCGATGCACAACGAGATGCAAAACCGCGAGACTTTTCCTCCGGTGAAAGGAAACTTTTTCTATTGTTATAACAAGTTGATACAGGGATATATTAACATGTGACAATAATTATACAAATTAGGCACTTATTGTGAGCCTCAGTAAAAACATAGTCAGCACGTTTATGTAGCAACTATATTAACTCTCAATTCGAATCGACTTAATTTTATAATATCAAATTTCGATTTGGAAGATAAATTAATGTAACAAACGTAATCTGACGTAAGTTGAAAAATAAAATGCTTGAGAGAGATGTAAGGCAAGTAGGTGGGTCATCTTCAATTTTACGAGCATACAACGTGTACGTATTCGCTTCTCGGATGCATCTCGGCGATAGGTGAAGCCGGGCACTTTAGCAGCTCGAGCGTGGGAGCCAATATTTACAGCCCATACCGAGGCTTGTACAAGTGGACTCACGACCTCATTCGGCCTCGCGAGTAGATATTTTTATCTTCTTTGAATACACGCGCGGAATTCAAACACTATTTCTTGTTCTAATTAAATGTTCTTTGAGAAAAGGTCGAAGTTATTTTATTTTTAAAAAGTACTCATTCTTTTAGATATACATAAACTGTCTTATCGTCTGTCTAATTCTGTAGAGAATCGTATAACTTAGAGTAAAATTTAATTTTAATTTAATTAATTCTATGTGTTACAGTTTTTTATATAATAACTTTGACAAAAATGTGTCATGTAAAAACAATTGGATATATCTTACATATTTGAATTACTATATATCTGCATTTTTTATACCGCTAGCTCAAACGTACAAGTTTTATTTGAATTTAAACAACCTTTCTACAAAAGTATAAAGGTCAACGTCCGAAGGAGAGAACTCATATTCCAGCTACAGAATCACGTTGAAAGTCATTCCACGTTGCACGTTAAAGTAATAAGGTAGGACAATAGGCCCCGAGACACCCGCTCGCGGCAGCGAATTACATGTCCCACGTTTGCTGTTACTGTTTTACGAGCGGTATAATTCCTCTGGAATTACGTGCGACTCTAGAATCGCACCTACACACGAGCGGAATTCCCGACTCCCACCGCGATCCTTTTGTTCACGATCCTGACGAAACTCCATACTCGTTCCTTCATGAAGCAAAAGTCCCGCTGATTGTCCTCTTAGAATTTTATGATCGCATATTTCCGAGGAAGAAGAAAAAGATGGTATACACTGTATACTCGTAGAAACAATAGCAAACAGCTGACTCCGACACTCGAGATTTAAAGGTCGATCCTGAAGGAATCTCTTGGAATCTTTACGTACGTCGTAACGGGATATAGCAATCAAAGCGAGTTCAGCTATTGTGTTTTTATTTCGCAAATAAAGATTGCACTTGTTAGAAAGAACTAAGTATAAATTTTACGTTCTCTAAATGGTTTTCTTTTTTATGAGAGAAAAGATTTTAAGAGTAAGTTTTTTATTTGACTCGTCTCACGATTTATATAAATTCAAGTACCAAACTATTTAATGCCGCATATTAGACAGATCTAATATTAGATTTAATTTGAATATATAATTAATAATATTGTACGAATTATTAATGAAGTATTAATAAACGAATTTTAAAAAACATTAAAAAATAAAATTATCACGCACACATCCACATTTTTTATAACGAGATTTACATTATTGTTTTCTCTCTCAAAAGAATAATCGAAACACAATTATGATATTAGATACAACATTGCTGCGAACTCTTAAGCTGAAATTAAATATCTCCGATCTAAGCTATATCGAGACTTAAAATTACAAGTTGTAATAACAAAAGTGTTGAAAAAAAAGCAATGCTTACAAGAAAAGTCATTGACCAACGTTGTTGCTCGAAAATGGGCAAAGAAAGAAATCGACAGAGAATTTGCATGCTCCAGTTTAGATTATCGAGCGTTTCGTCGACGCGAGCATTTTCTTTCTACGCTACGGCTGATTATCTTCTTTGCTTCGTAGCGTAACGTTGAAAACACGTCTAGATGATAGAGTAATTACGTGACGAGAAACACGAGTCTGATATTCCGACCTGGGACCGCGATATAGGTACTTCTCATAAAAGAGATTATAACGAATTAATCTCCGCCCTGCATGTTCATAAAAATTACCTCATCAAACGCTGTGTACTTAAAACATATACCTAGTTATTTTTGAGATAATGTAAAAATTGCTTTGATGAAGTCATATTTTCATGTACAATTTCATGAATTTTTACAAAAAAATTTAAAAAAAACACCTATTTGTATTAAGTAAGAAAAAATAATAGTAATAAAGTATAAGAAAATATAATGGCATAATGTAATTATTAAACTAAAATAAAACGAATATATACGTGTTCGTATAATATAAAATTGTGTAATAAAATTATATATATAATTGTATATATATATGTGTGTGTATACTATAATTTAATCCTAAACATTTATATAATTGTATTATTTGAAATAAATAATGATATAATAGATGACATATAATTATTTTATAAAAATTTTGAATTTCAAAATATTTGACAAATATATAAATATTAAAAGTTGCATATTATTTGCTTTGTTTTAGGCACACGTGGTCTCAGCTTTTGAACAATCACTGTCCAATATGACCCAGAGATTGCAGCAACTTACAGCTACAGCTGAGAAGAAGGTAAAAATATATACTTTAAAAAAATATTAATTTATTATTAATACATCATGCTGGATTTAATCGAGATTTATTACAGATGTACAATATTTTGTTATAAAAAAAATGTTTGCCGTTGATTTTTTAGGATTCCGAGCTTCAGGAACTACGAGAAACGATCGAAAGACTGCGCAAGCAGAGTGCCGAAGCTGGATTGAACAGCGGTCCAACTGCGAATAGTGGTCGGCGTCATACTTTAGGTGACTCCGAATCCGGTACCACTGGCTGCACTGGCAGCAGCAGCAGCAATAATCATCAGGGTGCATCAATGGCAAGACAGCTATCCGCGGACAGCGTAACGTCTCTGAACTCTTTAAGCAGCGCTTGCTCGGCCAGTAGCAGTCATCACAAAAAGAAGGGCTGGCTACGCAGCTCCTTCTCCAAGGCCTTCTCGAGGTCGCGCAAAAACCGACATGGTTCGGTTTCTGATGCAGAGGACTGCAAGGAGAGTCCTGGTGGTGATCTGAGCGCTCCCAACAGTCCTAGACTGCCAACCGCATCCAAACACGAGTCTTCGAGAGCACAAACTGTGAGGAGCAACGGTCAGAAATCTCCTGATCATGAGAATCCTTTGTCGGGAAGCAAGAGCAGCTCAGCACTGTACAAGAAAGAGGATGAAGATGTGGATGAATTGAAGAAACAATTGAGAGAGAAGGATTTAGTGCTCACAGATATCAGATTGGAAGCATTATCTTCAGCGCACCAGCTGGAGTCTTTAAAGGACACGGTCATCAAGATGAGAGTGAGTTTTTGTTTATTAGAAAAGAAATTCATACATTTTAATTTAAATAATTTGTCATTTTCAAGAAACCTTAACGATTCAGGATTAATATGTATTTCAAATTTTTTATTAAAAAAAATATGATTTTTATATCTTTGAGAAAATAATTTATTTTTACATGTGAATTTATTATTTTTCTCTCTACAGTACGAGATGCTGAACTTGAAACAGAACAATGAACGTCTCCAACGACTAGTGACCTCAAAATCGCTCACTTCTTCGCAATCCTCTCTACCTAGTGACCCAGATCGACGTTTCAGTATGACTGAGGTAGCGTCGAGTGTCGCAGCGTTGTCGAACGGCGACGTCAGTTCCACGGCTGATCAACTGGAAGATCTTAACGTCCCAGTCGAACACTCCGTCGTACCATCGAGCGCAACGACTACGGAACCAGTTCTCGAGCAAGACACTGACGGCAAGAGAATCAATGTGGCCGTTTATCTCGGCAGTGAGCGAAATTTTAACTATAATTTGATTACCGGGAGCTGCGCTGACGGCACTATAGGCGAGCCACCACATTGCATAATCGCCAATGTGTGTATCAGTAACAAAACGAGCTGGGACGCGCTAGATTCTATGGTGAGACGTTGCTTCAAGGAATACGTTTTCCGAGTGGATCCCGTAACGAATCTGGGTCTTGGCATCGAATGTGTCGCTGCGTATCATCTCGGTGAGGCTTCCAGGTGCGTATGTAATTAAAAAACATTAAAATAATATAAATTTGCAGGTACTTCTACTTATACAACTTTAAATATATATAATAGATACATTTTTTAACTTCTACAGATGTGCTTTCTATTAAGATTTGCCTATTTTATCGCCATTTAAAATAATTCAAATTTTTCTCTCTACTTTACTTTAGATGCACTACTGATTCTCAGCATCCTGAGTTGTTACCCTGCGGCTATCTAGTCGGCCACGTGAAAACTATTTATCTAGTGCTATCAGGCTATTCCTGGCTGGCGGTAGATACCTTAATACCGCGTTCCATCGTTCAGCGGTTGATCTCTCTCCTGACAGAACATCGTAGAGTAATTTTGTGTGGTCCAAGTGGTACAGGCAAGAGTTATTTAGCTGGAAAACTGGCGCATGCTCTAGTAGATGCTGATAATGATACGAAAGATGCTGCTGCCGTTGCGACTTTCAATGTCGACCATAAGTCCAGCAAGGAATTACGCCAATATCTCGCACACATCGCCGAAAGATGCGATTCGAACGCCGCTGATGAACTACCTAGGGTGATTATTTTGGAAAATCTTCAACACGCAGCATCTCTGGGCGAACTTTTCAGTGGACTCCTAGGAACTAGGCATTCATCGTGTCCTGCTATCATCGGTACTATGAGTCAGACCACTTGTAGCACCACCAACTTGCAATTACATCATAATTTCAGGTATTTTCATTTTTTGTGAACACATTTATAGCATTTTCAGTCGGGTTTACACCAACCTAGATTGGATTAATGACGTTTATTCATGCTCTCCTATTGGCAAAACATATAATGTCAACCAATAGTAGAGCTTAATCCAACTCAGTTTGGTGCAAACCCGATCGGACAGAAAACGTTATTAATCTATATTATTTTAATGCAATGTACTTGTGTATAATGTAAAATTATTTTAGTAATTTCTTAATGTAATTAAAAGGTTTTGGAAAAAGATTGTCAATAAGAAATTAAATACTAAAAATTAATTTTAAAGTTAATAGTTTAAATATACATATGTATATAGTCTTTTTAATTACAAACGATGAAAGTATAAAAGATTGATCTCTCAATGAATAAAACTTTAATTGTGTAATTAAACAGGTGGGTATTATGCGCAAATCACATGGAACCAGTCAAGGGATTCCTGGGACGTTATTTGAGAAGGAAATTACTGGAACACGAACTACGCGAATGCGCCGGGACAAGAAACGCGGAAATGGCGGCAGTAGTCGAGTGGCTGCCGCGTGTGTGGCTACATCTTAACAAATTTCTAGAAACCCATAGCAGTTCTGACGTCACCATAGGTAACTAGAAATATTTAAAACATGTTTCCACATTTAAAAAGATATAATTTTTGTGAGTCCAATAAATTCAATTTTAAATAAGAATTTCTCAATTTTTTACTATCTTCTTTAATTCTATCAGTACCAAACCAATATAATAGAATCAATGATTTTCAATCACAAAGGAATATTTACGAATCTGCGATAATAATATTAATAATTAAACAGGACCGCGGCTGTTTTTATCGTGTCCAATGGAAGTGGCTGGATCTCAAGTGTGGTTTACTGACCTTTGGAACTACTCAGTAATACCTTATCTAGTGGAAGCGGTCAGGGAAGGATTGACGCTATACGGAAGACGCGTAAGCGGGAACGGAAATGGCGAACTAACATGGGAAGATCCAGCGCAATTCATCACATCGAGCTATCCATGGCTTTCGACGCATGCTGTGCACGGCGGCAGCGATGCTCTTCTACGTCTGAGACCCGAAGACGTAGGATACGATGTCGTCTCCAGCGGGCACACTTCCGGTGTCGGCGCCTCCAGCGTGAAGAGCCTTGGAAGTACTCACAGTGATACTGAAGGAGATCCTCTGGTCAGTATTGAGATTCAGAAACTTTGAAACGCACATCTATTTATAAATATATAGGATGTTTAAATACATTTGACGATGAAAAAGAAATTGCAAGATGTGTAATGTAACATTCACAGTTGGTAAAATGCAATATTTATCATCAAAAAAAATTCGGCTAGATAAATCGTTGAATAGTAATAATAATTCTTAAATAAATAGATTATATATCTTTTCGCATCAATAGGAAATTCTTTTTCTAAATAAATAAAACAATTGTAACAAAAAGAAAGAAGATGAAATTTCCATATTAATCATAAAGAAATTTTACTTATTTATATTGCTTCGCATGCGTGCGTGCGTATGTGTAAACTGTTCAATGGTAACCGAGGACGTCATTAATTAATCGACTTTAATTTTTTATATCTATTTTTATAGCTTAATATGCTAATGAGGCTTCAAGAAGCGGCTAATTACTCAAGTCCGCATAGTAACGACAGCGACTCGGTGACATCTCTCGATTCATCGCATACTCGTCATTCAGAGGATTTGAGTAGTTCGACATCTTCATCAAGAGGAGTAGAATCGGCACTCTAAATTAGCAAGATATCATAAAAAAAATTCATCGCCGAAAGGTCGACATGTGTATATGCATAACGACCGATCAATTAAAAATACTACAAAAAGGTAAGATCAATAGCTCTGAGAAATAAACAATCATTCCGATCGCCGAATTCAGAGCAAGAGAGAATTATTTATGAATAAAAGATAATTATAAACAAGGAGTATCTTTATATCAGGGAAAATAATCAGTGCAATGTTTCTTAGATTAAAACTCAAGAAAGTTTTACAGGTGTCACTAAATCGTACTTCCGAATCGAGATAAGAGCGCAATTAAACATTAGCGATAATTCCTTATCATAAGAAACATCAAATTGCACGTTTAAGAACCCTCTGAAATGCAATAAGATTAAAAGAAATCACAAAATGCCAGCTATTTTAAGATCGCACTATTTTAATACCAACAATAGCTTCGTAAAAAGAAGAACCAAAAGGGATTTGAGATGCCTATAAAAGCTGGCCTAGATTTATAGATTTCTACGTGCATCCAGCATCCAGGTGTGATATATAATATTAAATAAGACAAAGGATAGATGATGACAATTTTTCGTCAAGAAAAATAGATAAATCGAAAGAAATAATTCTACGAAGACAAGTTTTACATTTTTTCAACGTAGAGATCGAACTTCAAGTTTTTAATCTAGTCTTCCGAAGCCAATGAGGATTCGGAAAATTAAATAAAATGTTTTTAATTTGTCTCCATATTTTACGGAAATAAATGGAAATTTTTTAAAATTCAAGATATTAAAAATATTAACTTTTGATCAGATATTATTTCAAATACATTTTTTATTTTCGATTTATCATCATAATTTATTCTTTTAAAGAATTAGCAATATTAACATTTTAGAAATACCAAGTAATTTTGCTAAATGATCGTTCATCAATTTCTTTCGGTCTATTAATTTTTCATGAAGAGTACACGCAAACGTAATGCAATAATTTCTTCACGCTGCCGTTTGCGAAAGCCGTTTCTATTTTAATGGAACGCATTTTTTCATTCACGACAAGATGCGAACGCGTTGAAAAAAATCGCATCGATTTTGTCGTTGGTGTATACACAGTATTAATGGCGTAAAAAAGAAAGCGGTTTCGAACCGAGGAATTCTTAAAGAACAGAAATTCCTCTTTCGTCCGATTATTTTTCAGGTAAAATTATCTAAATGTAGACAGATCTCAAGGATAAATAAACAGACGATTCTCATTCATATAACAGTCAAATGAGATAAAGCGAACGAGTTCGAAAGGATTATGGTCTGTGCAAAAATAGTCTATTTATACATACTTTGCTACGAAAGCTCTATTTAATTAAAGAATGTTAATATAATATATATATATATAGATAGTATATATACATTCATACCTGAACGACGATGGCGCTAAATATATATATACATATATATATATATACTACAAAAATAAAATTTCTAACTAGTTCGTAAGGTACGTGAATAATTCTGGTCATGTAACGTTGTAAATACAAAACAAAGCAAGATAGATTACGCTAGATATGCGAATTCGATTTGAAGTCCCATACGAATGGGCCCCGATATCTCCTGTGATAATTTTATTTGTAATCTTTTATTTTTACTTTCTTTATTCTTGGAACGTATCACATTTCGCAATCGACAACAAAATGTTTGTATACTCTTTATCACTGAAAAGAAGTCTTTTTATGACTTCAATAAACTATTAATTTTGCCACAGCGGTCTAAGCTGGATCACAGGTGCTTCTAAATAATTGCGTGTGAATTTATATGCTACGTATGTAATTTTTCAATTGCGCGTCGAAATTTTTTCAGGCTTAAAACGCAACACTAATAAACTACCGCAGTAATATCACGAGTTAAATTGATTAATAATTTAAGGCTGGGTCCACAACCTCGTTTTAAGAGGCCGTAAGCCGTAAAGCCATAAGAAATTGACCAATCACAGAAAATTATTTTTCTCCCATTCAACTATGATTGGTCAATTTCTTACGGCTTTACGGCTCACGGCCTCTTAAAGCAAGGACCCAGTCTAACGATTATTGACGCTGTTTACGTATCTTTCGGCGCGCAATCAAAAAATTACATTCATAGTATATAAATTCACATGCAATTATTTAGAAGCACCCGTGATTCAGCCGAGACTGCTGCGGCATTGTCCCATTCGGTTTTGAAATTTAGTAGTCCAATAAGAATTGATATTGTTTATTAATTTTGCCTGTTAATTTTAGAACAAATATTTAAAAACATTATTCAGTAAGTAAATATAAAATTATAATTATTTTAATCAATTTAAAAAAATTAAAATTAAAAGTTTTATATTTTGTCATAAAAAAGAATATAAGAAAGATAAAAATGTAATGTTTACTGAATAGTTACGATCATAGGAGATAATACGGCATCTACGAAGACTATATATAATAATGTACATGATCGGTGGCATGGTGTCCCAGTCTGCGATGAAGAAGGAAGCATGCCAACGTTAGACATACGATAATACAGTCGCATTTACAGGTTTTTTACGTTTGTACCGTATTTATATATACGCTGTATACAGCGCTGCACTTCAAACTCTATACAAATAACGATAATTAACTGTGTCATCAAATAAATTGCATTCAAATCTGTCTCGTTGACCTTTCTCATTTTAAACCTTACGTTTATTTACTAGAATAAATTGTCATGCTTTTCAAGGAACTATTTCTAATGAAGAAATTATATTTTCTATACAAAAATTACATTTCATCGAAATATTAAAACTAAAATTAAATTAAAATTAAATAATTAAATAAAAAAATTAAATAAATTATTTTTTATAAAATTACCAAATAAAATGTTTAAAACTTTAAATTAAGAATTTTTTATATTTTTTCTCATCTTTTCTTACAAAAGAGTATTGATTTTAATTCTTCTACGTAAAATTTCTCTCTAATCTTATTAAAAAAATTTTTTTATTATTTTATTAACTGTTAATTGGGCAATTAATTTTCATTTTCTATCTATTTTTTTACAAGAAACATTTACATTCTTATTATACCTATATATTCTAATTCGTCCTATAAGAATTATTCTTAGATTACCGATGATCCAAAATCACATTAGAAATGTACTTCTTTTTCTTTAAACAATTTTCTATTACGGCATAAATGATAAGCAGTCTTCTGTCCATAGCATTTAAGTGTGCCTTTGTGATGAGTGGAGAAACATCTGACATTACAGCTTCGTGTGCAAGGAGTCTATCTAATGCGATGCTTAGAGATCCACCACTAAATAATCGTAATCTATCCCACATAGTTTTATGAATTCTAAAATAAAATAATCTTTTTTTAAATTGCTATCTTTTTACGCAGTTTCTAAATGCCATAACGAGCAAGGAAGCTATTTAACATACGAATTCAGAGATTTCAAATTTTACATAAGAATATGTTAAAGACTTTTCAAGTCTTTTAATTCTATAACTTTTACAACAAGTAATAAATTATACTCACATGCAACACTGATATAGAGGCGCTAAGATATCGAGGTGATCAATATCAGGATTGCCTAGACTCTTTCCATTATCGATCAGTAATACAGCAGGATTGTGGAAATTGTTTTGTGCAAGTTCGTAATGATGCCGATCACCATTGTCCATAAGAAAATCAAAGATCGCTGTATCAATCAAATCCAAGAGTCTACTTGACGATTGCGGTGAATAAGCCTTGGAATCTTTTACCTGAAAAAAATTTAATTTGATATTTTCCACATCAAACGTTATTTATAATCGTATTTTTCATAAATTTTCATATACTTTTATTATATTTAAATATTTCATACATATATGTATATATATATATATATATATATTTTACAATCTTAGCAATGTACTTTATCACAATAGCCCTCATCTGTTTCCCATACAGCAAGTTTGTTTCTTTTATAAGTTCGTTGCCAAGGATGACGATGCTTCACCAGTCTTAAATATCGTGGAAGCCAAAAGATGAGGGTACCCTCCAATACATCTCCCGTTCCACAGACAGGATCAGCTGGAGAACAATAATGACAAACGCCGTATAGGCATGTATTGTTACCCTCTTGATACATGGTTGCGTATAATGCAGGTGTCGCGTGATTACCAACCTCTTCCCTCAGATCAACTACAAAAGAAGTATTATACATTTCGTGCTTCGTCAATTGAAAATAAAAAGTTTTAATTAATATTTATAGAAAAAGTTAATAAAGATTTTTATTGTAAATTTAAAAAAATTTAATTGAAGAGTTTCTATTAAAAATAAACAGAAATCTAATTTGTATATACGATCTTTTTCAATCTCTCTCATTTTAACTTTAACATACGTTTTCGAATAACAGCGAGTGGTACTCTTCGCAATGCTAACAAAGATGATAAATGAAAAGCCACCACTTCAGCATTGTGACGATCCTTGCCATGGTACACTGGTCCATGTATAATAGTATCTCTGGAGTACCATTGTGGCTTGAATAATGCTTTTATATCATTCTCAAGATTCAGCACAAGCTTCAGTTGTGTACCTAGTGGAGCATTATCCGCACGGACTATTTTAGATCTCCGCAAAACTTCCAAAATAGTCCCTAGTTCCGGTGCTGCTGGTGGAATCAACTGATGTGCATCTGGCCACTAAATATACATGTGTATATAAATAAGTTTTTATAATACACACACACACACACACACACCCCTATTTCTTCAATTTGTTTCTTTCTCTAAATCATATCTAAAAATCTTTTGTATCTCTTACGTTATGAAATTTAAAATAGTACTTCAAAGAATTTTTTAACTAACATTATTATTGGGAATATTCCAAATATCTTCGCGGACATTTGGCATTATCGTCAACTCGGCTAGCAATCGTTCCAGGACAATAGTATAACTTGTATTCTGTTTGAAGTACTTGGAAGGCAATGAACGAATCTCCTCTTTGATCCTCTCGTTGATACTCTTTGCAATTGATTTTAATTGCAGTTGCAAATCTTTTTCATCAGATTGTGAGGGCGTGGAAGGATCTTGCCTGGCTTTCGGTTCCGGTAAATTTTTGGAGTATGTCCTATGCGAGGAAGAACTCTCAACGATCATTCGGATGAAATAGATGTTTACACTGAGGACTAAGATCAACAGGATGCTCAAGGCGAAAAGAGTGCAACGTCGGCCAATCATCTGAAATTTTTATAAACTTTTAATTTTGCATTTTTATTATACGGGGCATTTCAGGATATAATGGACAAACTATGCGGGAGCATATTCTACAAGTAGAAATAAAAAAAAAATGTTATATGAAGTTTGGCTAAAAATGTTTTATTACAAAATTATAAACAAACATACGCGCAGATCGAAATAATACTGAATCGTTTAAAGATAATAAATATGAGGTGAATACATACGAAATAAACATGTTCAACCTTTTCGTACACTCAAAATATACACTTTTATTTCAAGGCAATGCAAAATCAGTTGTTTCCTATTTTATGTTCTGTTTCAATATTTGTTTATAATTTTGTAATAAAGAATTTTTGGTCGAAAACTTTATATAACTTTTTTCTTTCTTATTTCCACTTATGCTCCCGCAATTTGCCTGTTAAGTCCTGAAATACCTTGTATAATTTTTTAATAGTAAAATTATATTGTTTATTTAAAAAAATTATTTTATAAAATTGTTTGTGATAAGGCTCAATATGTATTAAACAATAACTAATATAAAGAGATAAGGGCAATGAGCCAATAATTTCGTTAAAATCTTTAAATTAATCTAATATATATTGCGAAGAATATCACGTAATTATGGCGTTTATTTTATAAATTACTTACTAATAATTAATCACATCAAATAACACAAGTCAGAAATATACATCCTTCTTTAATGAATCATTAAGAAATTTGGACACTCTCAATAACTTAATTTTGTTAACTTTCTTTTTGAAGTATTAACTGATTTAATAATAATTTAAAATTGTATTCAAATATAACTCTTTTTATTATTTACAAATTTATATCACAGGATATACGAGATAACTTTCCAACCAAAATTAATATAAAAAGATAAGTTTTTTCAGTATATTTTCAAACGAAAAATATCAAAAAAGTAAGAAACAAAATTTCCCGCGTCACTGGCGACCATATTATGCAATTCCCTGCTTGTGACGTTATGGCGATTTTGTAATATCCGTGAGATTGTTGCACCACATCGATATAGTTATCGTTAATTATAATTAACCGAATTTCCCCGCTTTCCAATTGGATCACAATATAGATGCACGAATTTTAACAATCAACTCAATGTAACTCTCATAATTTAAAAGTCACTACAAATCTCTTACATATTGTAACATTCGAATGATCAATATCAGCGCGTAAAATAACAAATGTCAACAATAACGTTAATTTCGATCACACCTTGAAGCAATTGGCCATGCGTTCGCTGTCACCTGGTAACTCGCGTCTGTCTCATTGTTCGTCAATATCGTCGAGTGTCGCCGACGTTTCATCCGCGTTCAGACATCGTCGCCATTTTTACTCACCACTCTGACTCCACTACTCCACTTAAGACGTACCGCGCCGCGCGGCGCCGGAGCGATGTAGCCACGCGTACCATCAAGTCGTAACATGCGTTATTTCATTCATGTTATGCAGCTATCGATGAATGAAACTCTTGGACATTATATATAAAAATGCTTTTGCAATTTTAAACTAGGCTTATTTTTACAGAAAAGAAACTATATATTAAATTGTAACTATTTGCTATTTAAATATTTTAAACATTTGGATCAATTTGGATGTTCATGAATTACTTGTATTGATTTTCTTTTTAAAACTTAACCAAAAAAGAAAAATGAGTTTTTTTAAGCAATCATCTAAAATTATTCTATAATTATGATTCAAATAGACACAAAATCGTTATTGCTAAATATACACAACTTTTAATACATTGTATAATGTATCCATACGTTTTCATTTAGCATGAAAAAAAGCGTAAGATAAATTCCCTTGGACAAATTTTAAAATAACAAGAATGTGATGTAAAAATATTGTGGGATTCACAATGAAAAGCAATAGTGTGATAGTGACGAATTTATTTTATAAAAACATGTAAACTATATGTGAATATAGAATTAATCTTATAGACTTATATTTCGCTTCGAAAACACATCTCCCTGTGAACGCACATAAGTAGTGCAGACATTGATGATAGAGATCGTGATTGTGGTGGTGGTAGTGGTGATGATGACTTGGCTCGGTAGCTACTGTCATTTTTTTTTTCTTAATGCTCGTTACATAGTTCGTAGAAAGAATTAAATATATACACAATGTGTAATCGTTTCTGTTTCTTATTCTCTTTCCCTTCGTTGCCTTTCGCGCTCGCGTGCCAATTCTGTGGCGTAGTCATACGGTGAGCCTCTCCTGAAATCAAAATTATTTTTTTAAATATACATGAAAAATTGTAAACGCAAACAATTTGAAATAAATTGTGTTCCATACATAAAACACACTTGACATAAATTCTTATAAAATTCTATAACGCAATCTGAAATGATACATATAGTGACTATAACGATGTGTGTGCGTGCGTGCGCGCACGCGTGTATAAACTAAACTTAAAAAAAAAATCTCTATTGTACTTCTGCCCTTACCTATCCCGATGTCGGTCTCTATCACGATGACGATCTCTGCTTCGATCTCTATATGATCTGTCTCTGCTACGGCTTTTATAATCTCTCTGTCTTCTATTTCTGTCACGACTGTTCGATCTTCTGCTATACCTGTCTCTTTCACGATCCCGTTCGCGAGCTCTTTCTCTATCACGCTCTCGCAACCTCTCGCGATCGCGATCGCGCTCTCTATTCTTGTCCTTACGATCCTCATCGGTTCTGTAAAGAGACACATACGAACGGAAGTATGACATTGGTTGTCTCGATTGATTCATTGCAAAATTCGATCTATACTCAAAAAATTGAAAAAATGTTATTAATATTTTATCTCCTTGTTATATACACCAACAATTGTACATTAAAGAGAATAATTTTCTAAACAAGTCTATCATCATGTTTTTCAAGACAAAACACGAAAACAATAATTTATCAGATTTATTTTCTACGCCTCAAAATACATCAAAATATATAAAAACATATAAATTTCAAAAATTAACTTTAAAAAAAGTGTGATTTCTACGTATGTATTCATTCAAGTATTAATAACGTGATCGTTGTATTCATACCACGTGGACGCACCTGGCACGCCACTGGCTCATACGCTCGGCCTCACCCCACTGAGTCTCGTTATCGGGAATATGTCGGGGTTGCTGATTACGCAATGTCAAGTTACCGTTGTCCTTACGACCATCCTTGTTGCCATACTTGCCGTGGCTATTGAGAGTGATTGGCGGCTTAGCGTTTCGTGCATTCACCTGCTGTTGCGGAAAGCGCTCGGCCAACCGCAGTTCTAAATCTTTTTGGATTGGTACCGGTATCCGTGGAAATAATGTAGAGAACCACTCTAGTTTGGTAAGGAATTGTTTAAGAATGTCGCCCATTTTCATCACTTGTCCGCCGCCTGCCTTTACATCTAACTCCTCTTCATCCTCCAGATAATCGTTGTACCAGCTGAACAAGTCTGCCGGTGGCTGTGTATATCTAATTGTAACCGTACTGTGTATATATAATCATAATCGTAACCAGTTTATAGCTTGACTTGAACGGTTAGACGTTACAAGTCTAGCCTACAGGGTCTGGAAGGATATTCAAGTGACTACTCACAACAATCTTAATTAGTACATTCATGTTAAACCAAGCAAATGTATCGCTTTAACACTCTCATACGTGTATATACGCATATATAATTTTTGAACACACACACGACAACTATTAATATTAATCAGATAATCACAGATTTAAAAATTAATAGATTGATACTACAATTGATATTTTGTTATCTTTAAGTTTTCAATTATATATTACAGCCAAAATTGAAATATAAAAAAAGACGAAATATACAATAAACTAAAAAACAAACACAAATATAATTTTCAAAATAAATGTACTTTTAATAAGTTTTTAATCTAAATATATCCTCTTTACTAAAAATGATAAAATATACATCCTATAAAAATGGCTGCGTTCAGCAGAAAAAGCATTCTTTAATATGATTGGTGATCTTGCCCTTACTTCCTCAATAGATCTCTAAATGTATAAACCTATGAAGCTTTCTCTGCTGAACACAGCCAATGTCTACGACAAAACTATTGTATACATTTAATATGTTTAATTACATATTGATATCACAAAACGTGTTAAATAAGACTCACCTAATGTACATAAATCCTAGAGCGCGTATATAGGGTGAGTCCGGATGATTAATAAGTCCATTTAGTTGCTTTCTGGTTAGCCTCAGAGTGAAGAGTTTGTATAATAGACAATATGCCGTGGAAACAATTCCGCCAGCTCCCACGCCTCGCACCTGCATGAACCGCTAAATTTACACCCCCCTCAGTCAGTTAAGTCACATTCGTGTTACCGTACAATATATGAACCGAATACATGCTATTCTGCAATTAATGGTGCGGTTAACACTTTGTTTCTGGCAATAGTAATAGTACCAAGGCGTTTGTTCGAGCGTTGGCAATACTACCATTGTATATATAACAAACTTTGCAATTTTTTATGAAAACATTTACTGCATTCATCCAAACTTTCCATCATTCAATAGTTGAATTAGAGCTCATTTTAACAGAAATGATTCTTTTCTACTATACTGTGTCTTTATTCCATCTTGAAACAAACATTGAGAATCCCATCTCTACTTTATATCACTAATCTATTGCATAATTTTTCAACTTGTAATTTTTTAAATTATCAAAATAATATATAAATTTGTTTTCTAAACATGCAGATCGAGTGTAGGAGAGACAAAACAAAAAGAGATGGGTTTCAACTGTGCTTAAATTTCGAAAATTATCTATTAGTAATAACTGATGTTGCATTATAATGAGTCAAACACATATACTGCTACATTCAAATCACCTTACTACTCTCGTCTGACAATTTGCCCATAGGTCACTGGCTAGTGCAATATAATCAGTTTTCTGTACAAGCGAATACATTTGTGCAACGTCTCATAAGCCTTAGACTTTTTCGACAAATGTATTAATAATTAAAAAACAAGGATAAAGATAAAAAGAAAAAAATCCGATGTTGTTGAGAAAACATACTCACGCCTCCACACATGCCAGTTTGGCCTGCAGTCTTTCTGCTGCCTTTTTCCCATGGTTCTAAGTGAGAGACCTTATAATAGATCTCATCAATCACCTCATGATAGGTCTTGAGTTCATACAGATTCACCTTGAAATAATGCGACGACTGTATGTTGGTAAGAATCAAAGGATTCAAATTCATAGTCCTTTCGTTGCCCCATAGTGGCAACACATTTGACTTTTTACCCTCCTTTGGAACTGGCCTACGTTCCTCATCGCAACCACTCGAGTTATTCCATGGAGACCCTGAGAGAAGAAAAATCCATTGTACCTAAACTCAATGAAATGATCGATATCCATATTGATACTAAAATGTTGTGTATACGCGCAGATAAATCAATAAATACAAATGTCAAAAAAGATTGTGAAAAAGATGGTTCTACAAAACAGAAAATTTTTTAAAACTAACAACGATATTTTTTATCTCGTTCTATGCTTTTTTGTACCTTTTCTCAGCAGATCAAAAGAGTTCGCAAACGAAAGTAAATGAAACATTAGGTTTGTTCGCGTTATTTGCACCTTTTGCACTCAATTAGCAACCTCTCTTTTTTCAACACCCGAATATAATTTATATACCCAAATATAAATTATATTTGTTCTAAGTGTAAAAAATTTTGAGGATTTTGAGCAATACGAACTTATTGTCGACAAATAATTAAGGTTTGGAATTAAAATCGGAATAATATGGTAAAGATCGGGAATAAGACCGATAAACGCGACAAGGTTATGTTATCTGAGAAACAAGAAAACGACTGGTTTACAACCGACAGGGAACTTGAGAAATTAGAAAGCAGAGTATCTTTTATAATGTAGATATCTTTTATAATGCATATTTACTCACCATCCGCACCTTCAGCCTCCTGCATTTGCATCTTTAAATGATTTGTCGGGGAGACTCGCGTGGAGTCTCCACATCGGTCGCGTCAAGGACAAACAAACGAACCCGCTCAGCTAAAAATTAATTCGAATTGCTCTCTACGGATGAACTCATGTAGAAGATTTTCAATATTTAATAATTTTTCAGGATATCGTAGAAACCAACGCTGTAACACGCTGTAACACGCTGTAACTCTCGTAAACCCTCGTCAGTCTTGTTCACGAAGCGTGACGAAACGTGCAAAAAAAAAACGAGAGGACGTAGCTGATTGTAGCACTCTATTACGTACGACGGATAAACTATATGCACATACACATCCGATTCTCTACTGCGCATGCGCGATACTATGGTGAAATTGGAGTTTTAAGTATAGGGATTCTAGATGAAAAGAATAGGCCGGAGAGAAACCTCGTAAGTTTCTTACGAGCCCCGTTCGTCGAATCTCGTAAAGGGGAGAGCGAAAACACGTACGATCGTGCATGGATTGTGACAATTAATATAGAAAGGTGGACACTTTTCATTTTATGAAAATTTCCGAGGGACAGAATTAATTACCGTGGGTGTATGTACCCATGGTGTAATTAGAAAGGTAAAGCAATTATAAGATGCGCAGTGACAATTAGCCAATCAGATGTGTGCCTAAATTCAAAATTATTGTAGTGGGGGGAATGGCTGGAGAGGTCTTTGCGCGTAGTAAGATGGTAGGTCTGTTCGCGTTGCATGAAATCCCCAAATAATTTTGCACTTAAAATGAGATAGATATATATTCGGCGTTAAAAAGAGAGAAAGCGAAGATGGTAAGTGCAAAAAGTGCAAGCAACGCGAACAGACCTGGTGAGATAGTGTAGTGTAGTACAGGTTGAGGTTAGAGTCCCTAAAATGAGTCTGGCAAAATCATTACTAATTCTATTGGTGTTGCTAAAAATGGCGGAACCAATAAGATGCCTCAAATAGCCTCAAGAACCAATAAGATGCTTCAATGTCAGCATGCATGTATAATTTGTTTTCTATTATATATATATATATATATATCTCACTTACTTTTTACACAGGCTGTGATCTTTTATCAATATGTATTAAAAAATTAGTTATTTTATTTATTTAAAATGATTGTATACTGTTTACGATATATTTATAGTATCACATCAGTTTACTACACCTATATCTACGACGCCATGTTTTAGCAAACTAGAAAGATTGGCCAGACTCCTTATTATAGGGACTCTAGTTGAGGTTAGAGGATAGTGACAAGGTAAGGACAAATATGTTTATTACTTTTAGTACTTTTAGTACTTTTGTTGTTGTCGATGCGAATAAATTTATTAGTTTTCTTGGAAAACATGTGATTATTTAAAGGTTAATCTAGAATGCACTTTTTGCTTCTTGTCTTCTAATCTCTCTGCATTATGCTATTGTGTTTCTTGTCTTTTCCTTTCTAAGAAAAGTCGTGTAAAACATATATCGAATATGTCGAAGTAATTGACGTTTCCGTCGATTGATTCTCTCGTTGAGCTAACTTCGTGAGCGGCTGCCGTGCCGTGTATTTTGACAGTTGTGTGTATAAATAATTAACAGTATAATAGTAACAATACATTATTAATTGTACGCATTCAAGCATTTTAACAAATACACTAAAAGATAAGAAATTAAAAGCTAAATAGCGTGCATCTATCTAGTAAGTTAAAATTGGCGCTTTGCATTTAGGCACACATCTGATTGGTTGAAATATTGAGCGACCGCCATTATGCGTAAGGCCGATATTTCATGTGTCGTACGACAAGGCTTTTCAAGCCTGTTTATTGGCTGTAAAACAGAGAGATTCTCGGATCTCTCTGACCTATAACCAATCAACGTGCTTGAAAAGCCTTGTCGTACGACACATGAAATATCGGCCTAATGCAGGATTCACACTGCGTCCGACATCCGACGTACGACGTCCGATATCCAATAGGAGAGCTTGATTTCTTGATATATAGCTAACAATATTTTGTAACAAGCTCTGCTATTGGATATCGTACCGTCGTCCGTCGGATGTCGTACGCAGTGTGAATCCTACATAATGCTTCACCTTTCTAATTACACCATGAGTAGAATCACCTATTATTTTTACACCGTGGCCACAGTATATACAGTAGCGCAACTCTCTCTCGGCACCTTTGATGTAAGTGTTGCCTAAAATGGAGTGCGCATGCGCGAAATGTGGCAGTTATTAGACTATGCCTTTCTCTTTTCATCCTTTTTTCGCTCTGTCAAAACGCACTAGCACAGTATATATAGTAACGCACTCTCCCGATTTTATGTTGGCGGAAATAGAGTGCGCATGCGCTAAATAAATAGGTTGGATAGAGCGAAAAAAGGATGAAAAGAGAAAGGAATAGTCTAGTCACTGCCATATTTCGCGCATGCGCACTCCATTTTAGGCAACATAAAATCGGGAGAGTTGCGCTACTGTATATACTGCGGGAATATACTTCTCTCTCTTTCTCAGCGTACTTTGAACGTTGTGCGCATGCGTCGGATCATCCCCTCCATCAATAATAAATAGAAGGATAAATATACATATATGTGTAAGGAAGAAGGAAAAAGTGATTGATTCCGCTTCAGGGTATAACCTTGTTACAGTTAACAGAGTCAGTTTAGTCGGAATAAATAAATTAATCCTAATTTTATGAAATAAACTTTTTCAAGATTGCCGTTATGTGTATAAGAATACAGTGCAATCCCTTACAGAAATTTCATGATAATCAGTGCAAACTAATACCTATTTCATACCTATGCAAACTAATGTTTTCAGTCGCATTAGGCGCATTAGGCTTTTTGCCACATAAATAACATATCTTGACCATTTTTGCCTGTGTACAACAGCACACATCTAATAAGCATAACGAGCATAACCTGTTCGCGTCATCTCACTGATCGCACTCTATTTTCCTATTGGCGGATGCAATCAATCCAACGCATGCGCACAACACTCAAAGTACTCTTAGAAAGAGAGGGAAATATATATTCCCGCACCGTGGTTCTGGGACCGCTTCCTCTCACTCCCTCTTATAGGCACTAGCCATATAGTAGTATTACATATATGGATAGTCACGTGGGTAGTCATGTGAGAGCCGAACATATTCAAGTCACGACGAAACTAGTCGAAGTCAAAAGACACCCTCTCTCCGCGATTATCGCCTACCCTTCCTAGAAAGACTCCGTCTATATGTCGTTGTTGGTATGTATACTTTTTACTCTGGTTATAAGTCGTTTGAAATAATAGCAATTCTTTTCAAAATTCTCAAAATGATTAATTTGCATATTTTGAACTTTTTTCAGAGTGTGCAGATTGTAAACAATGCTGTTCAGCAGGAGCACATTTGCATTCCGACAGTGCTTGCAACGAAAACTTTTTACGACTGTTGATACATTCTATCTTGTAGAATTACAGAAAAATTGTAGGAAAAATGTATATGATTACAATCAAACTCGTAACTTTAGAAATTTTGGTCATACCAGAAGAAAATTTCGCCTTTCCTCCATTATGCCAATTATCATTTGTAGCATTGGTATGCTTGTAACTATAAGTTTTGATTGGCAACGGTAAGTGAAGTGAATAATATTAATTATAATCAAATGATGCAAAAACATTAAATATATCATTCAACATACCAATGTACTATTCTATATTTTACAGGAAGCTTAACCTAATACCTAAAGTAGATGCTGCTAGTATCTTAGACTCAGAAAAGACTCAGAATAATGAAAATGTAGAAAATATAGAACAGGATGTACAAAAGAAGAAGAAAAACAGAAAACAGAAGATTGGATTTCGCGATAGAAAGGTTTATTAAAGACTTACATTAGCCATATGGTGATATATGTGTATATACAATTCTTCAAGATTATCTCAAGTTAGATTGCAAAGCTAAGATTAATTATGTAATAAAATAAGGAAGAGATATAACAATTTTTTTTCATACGCGTTAGAATAGTACTGTAGATTTTATAATTTTAGTGTTTTACTTGCACCATATATCTATGCAGAACGATGCAGGTTCAAGTGTTTTTACAGATAATAGAGTATGAGAATAGGATTAGAGCATATTCAACGCCAGACAAAATCTTTCGTTACTTTGCGACTGTGAAAGTAATTAGTTTAGAAGGTATTGAAATCTATATGACACCTGATGATTTTCTTCGAGCTATCACGCCAAATATGCAGCAGCCAGATGGTATGGCTTCCTAAATTTTATTGTATTTGTGCTAAAACATAATTCTGAAATTGCATCTTTCTGTTTACAATTATTTATGATAAATCTTAGTAACAACTACTTACCTGCTTCGCTCTGTTAACTAAAATATTTCCTATCTACTAATTTCTTACCTAATATCAGGTAAACACAAACTGTTGATTGCTAAAATGGAATATGGATAGTATTATCGTACAAGTATTTCTGAAAATTAAAAGTTGATAATTTTGCACATTAATTAATTTTAAAATTCGCAACTATCTATTAATTGATGTATGTGCAGATAATAGAATACGAAAATCGTATGAGGCATTACTCGACACCAGACAAAGTATTCCGTTACTTTGCAACTCTCCAAGTCACAAGCAATGATATACACGAAGTATTTATGACGCCGGATGACTTTTTAAGATCGATGACACCTGGCGTGAAACAACCCGACGGTGATTCCATATCCCTACGAGCCTTTTCTCATTTTTAAATGAAATATTGGGCGCGTTCAGTGGATTCAACAGTTGAGTCTGCTGAATACGCCCATTGTTAGATACAAATTTTCAAATTAACTATGACATGCTTACTGATTCCTTATTGTTCTAGCTTTTCTGCATGTGCAAAACAATTAACATTTTTAGAAGTTATCATTTATATTTAATATATTGTTATATTTTTTCGAGATCATATTATCAGATTTATCATAAAGAGACGGTATACTGAAAGAATGTATAGTGGTAATAATTATATTATTATAATTTTCAGGTCTTGGACTGGATCAGTACAAACGTTACGATCCAAAGGTACATAAATAAAATTCACAAAAAAATATTAATTAAGGGATATTTTTCTATAGAAATATTTTCTTCCCTATTTAGAATATTCACACCAAATTAGAATTAGAATTGGATGAAGATAGCATCTTCTACAAGCTAGGCAGTGCTGGCCTTATTACTTTCTCTGATTACATCTTTTTATTGACTGTATTGTCAAGTAAGTTGTTCACTATTTTTTTAATTTTTAATTGTATATCCAAAATATTTGCAATATAATGTAGTTAAGAATCTACATACGTAGTATATAAATTCACACGAAATTATATTAGAAACATCCAAGATCCAGCTTGACCGTAAATAACTTATTCTCATCGGTATTTAGTTTGAAACTCTCACGGTCCAAATAAGATTTAATATTGTAATGTAGTTTAACATACGTATTTTTATTCAAATGTATAACAACTGAACTTCTTGTAGTATGATACAAATATCAAGTTTCAATGATATTCAAATTTGTTTTACAGCTTCTAGACGTCACTTTGAAATTGCCTTCAGAATGTTTGATTTCAATGGAGATGGTGACGTCGATTCTGAAGAGTTTGGAAAAGTAGCTACATTGATACGACAACAAACTAGTATAGGTACTCGACATCGCGATCACGCGACTACAGGAAATACATTTAAGGTTATAATATTTATCTAGTTTTGTTACATATTATCATAAACAATAATTGTTAAATACTTATTAATTTGAATTACATAGCACACACAATCAGACTTGATTGAATAAACAAAATCACAATATTTTTTAATTGGGATTTTAGGGAGTAAATTCTGCGCTAACAACATATTTTTTTGGACCACAAATGAATCAAAAGCTAACAATCGAGAAATTCTTGGATTTTCAGCAGCAATTGCAACGGGAAATTCTGAGTCTTGAGGTATGGTAATCAATCCTACTTGCCATAATGTACATAATCATTGATTCCATATTATATTATAGTATTTACTTATATATATATATATATATATATTTGCTTAGTTTGAACGACGAAATCCAGACGAGTATGGCAACATTACTGAGGTAGATTTTACAGAATTGTTATTGGCTTATGCTGGATATCCAGCGAAAAAGAAGGCAAAAATGTTGAAGAGAGTAAAAAAGACGTGAGTGGAAAAATATTTAATCTTTATATCTATAAAATCTAAAATTTTCAAAAATATTACGTAGTTAAATATCATAATTATTTATAGCTTTAAAGAAAATCCGAAAGGGATCAGTAAAGAAGAATACCTCAAGTTTTTCCACTTTTTAAACAATATTAACGATGTTGATACAGCTCTCACATTTTATCATATAGCTGGCGCATCTATCGATCAAGGTATATAAAATAATAATGGCTAGTTACAAGTTACAAATATTCTAATTGAAACTGAAACAAAATAATTATGGTTCGTTAATTGTAAGAAACAATCAGTCAATCATAGGTAATTAAAAATTTCAAGTAAACGCAACGCTGCATTCTTATTGCTATATTAATTATTTATGGATATATGTATAATTCTGTAATATAATATTGCAGCGACATTAAAACATGTAGCAAAAACTGTAGCACATGTTGATCTAAGTGATCATATCATTCAAGTGGTATACACAATTTTCGATGAAAACAGTGAGTTAATTTTTATGACTAAAAATGCCGTATTATTTTGATACTTTACTAAGAAAAGCTACAATTAATTTTCTTATAAGTTATAGCATTAATGTATCTTAAATGTATATTAAATATATAAAATGTATTTAAAAATGATTAAATTGTTTATAACACATCTTATTCCACAGTGGACGGACAACTTAGCAATCGAGAGTTTGTCGCTGTAATGAAGAACCGTGTGCTGCGCGGCCTGGAAAAGCCAAAGGATACTGGTTTTGTCAAGTTAATTCAATCTATGATGAAGTGTGCGAAAAACAACAATCTCCTGTCGTACGATAAATAATTGAGTATTTAAATGCTACTTGGTCTTCTTTAGGTACCTGTTAAATTAATATTTGGAGAGAAATAAAATATTATGTAAAGTATAGAATTATAAAATATTTAAAACGCAAGTTTGCAATTGTATTAATTATAATACTTATTATAGAGCATATATCGCTTGTAAACTAAAAGATAGATAGTTACGTTAAAAATAAATCCTACATCAATGATGTATTACGTTAATACACTTTCACGCTTGTATTAAATAGAGCATATCATCCGAAAAAGATGTGAAATGCAGGCACCATAATTTCTCCTATTCAATGCGTCATCCTCTTCAGTAGTTTAGCATTCACTCGATAAGACAACAACGGATTGCAAGTTTAAAGTTATATTATTAAATACAATAAGGATACAACAATGTGGACAAAATATAATTTTAATTTGCTTTTTATACAAGTGGCAATAATACTACTTTTCGTAAATTTTGTCGCAACCAATTTATTGGAAAAACTTACAGATATGACTTTAAGAGGTAAATATTCTAAGAGTAAAAATCGTGATTCGATTGTGTGCATATTATAATATTACATGTATACATTAATTTGTTTTAATCATGATTATAAATTTACAAATTGTGAAAAGAAAGGACCTCAAAACAGGAAAGAGCAGATATTTTGTCAATGGGACAATACTTTCAGTGAGTGAAGTCTTTTTATTTGGCATCAAATTTTTTAACTTATTTATAATTTTACAATATATATGCCATGTATTTTTACACACGTTTGAATTTTCATGTATTTTTAAACATTTTTTTTATTTTACTCGACACATAGTTCAAATAAAATCTTATAAGTTTTGCCACGAGAATTATAAATTATTTAATAAAGTGAGTTTGTTTTTACGAGTCATAATATTTGTGTAAAATGACAAAAAAAATTGTAAATTTTAATGATCGTTAACATGTAGAGATATATTTTCGGAACATTTGGCGCCTCTTAAACTTGAATTTGGTTACGTCTGCGAGAATCCTATTGAATGGGAACAAAGATTCGAACGAAAAGATTTTGACAATAACCGTTTTAGTGGCAAGGTAATTATCTTATTTGACGATTACACATTTTTTTGTAAATTAAAGTTATTAGAGTAATGTGAGTAATCATCAATTGAGTATTCATCAATTTGTTAATATATCTATTTAAATGTAATTTATTATTTATAATTGGTTGCAATTTTTAAGGTGAAATGGGGTAGCAGAAATGGAGAATATGGCGAACAATATTGGGATTTAAATCATTAACTTTAACAAAGACTAATAATTATATTTATAAACAAACACTGACAATCAGTTTAATAAAAATTCCTTGTTTGAATTTGTTTTGTACAATTTATTCTACTAATAAAGTAATTATTGTGAAGAAAAGATTTTTAGAACAATTAGACGAAACATTAAATATTTTTAATTATGAATTATAAATGATTGAAAGCGTGAGCTATAGAGAAGTTGATATAAATGTGAAATAAGAAAATACTCGCAACAGAGGAGCATCGGTGGTTCAGTGGTAGAATGCTTGCCGGGTTCGATTCCCGACCGATGCAATATCGCGTTATTTTTGTCAAAGGTTCATGCGAATCTGGAATTATTCGAGACACAAAGAGAGGAGTAGTCGTTGGATAGAGTGTCGAGTTTTAAAAGTAAATTTTCTCTATATATATTTTTATGTAAGAAAAATTTACCAAAAAAAGTTAATGCATCGGCCGGGAATCGAACCCGGGCCGCCCGCGTGGCAGGCGAGCATTCTACCACTGAACCACCGATGCTCACGTGAGTTCTCTCTTCTATACTGACTCAATACGTTCAAAATTCATAAGAATTAAAATTGAAAGTCGTCATTTTTGTTTGTGAAAAAAAAAAAACTGAACGTTATAGTCGATGATAGTGAATAATTTTGATGCGAGGCAGTTATGGAGATTGTAGACAGACTAGCAGTTTTTCCAACATCCAGCTCGCATACAAGTGTGAAATGCCGTTTGACCTGCGCCCGTAGAGGTCGCGATTTACTTTTGAAACGAGTCGATGGTCTTTTGATCCGATTTCGCGTGATTATGTTACAATTACTCAAGAACAAATCGCAGTTTGGTCAAGTTATGAGAGACGCGGCCTTCTCGTTGGTCGAAGTTAATTACGCGACAGGTGGAGTAAACGAGCTGGTCCTACAAGCGGTCGACAAGGCCAAAACCAAGATTCAAACCAGACAGGAGATGATCGGTGGGATTCGACTATGGATTTACGAGGCCTTCCGCAGTGGCGCCGATCCCTTCGAATTTGCTGGATTAGCCAGAGGCGGTCAACAAGTGATTATATTACCTCTGGCACGCAATAATATTCGCGCGCTACACGCGAACCGTACTTAATATACTTTCATCAATTGTTGTCGCGGTCATTTCCCCGACATCTCGCACGCGATACGTCGCAACAGGTGGCTAGATTGAAGATCAATTACGGAAAGGCGATAGATCTGCTGGTCGAATTGGCGTCGTTGCAGCGCAACTACCAGATTCTCGATCGGGTAATCAAGAGGACGAGACGTCGCGTAAACGCTCTTCGCTATATCATTATACCTCGATTAGAACGGACTCTCGCGTATATCGTCACCGAACTCGACGAATACGAGCGAGAAGAATTCTATCGTCTTAAGAAAATACGAGAGTGGAAAACGAAGCGACGTGACAAACAGTCATCTTATGATTTCATTCGGAGCACCAATAATATCCTGGACGACTCGGACGAGGATCTTCTCTTTTAATATCTAATAGCAGCGAATTGGGTAATGTAATGATTCACACATGCATGATTCGCGAGAGTGCGCTTGAAGAAAATACAGTAGTCGCTTCTCTCTCTCTCTCTCTCTTTGTATGCGACTTTGTGCGAATAATTAATTTTTCAAAAAAAGGTTCAATTATATACCAAGAAAATACGCGCTGTCAAACATCGGGATATGATAATGAGAACGTAACTCTGATGCTGTTCTTTCCTTCCTCCTATCTATATATAATAATCTACTCTCTCTACAGATCTCGTAGATGCATATAGCAGCTGCTGAAACGACAAACTCCTCCTCCTCCTTTCGCACGAAAATTTCAACTTGCCACTTGCCAGGCATCATATTATTATTATACATATATGGTATTTCAATTAATATATATATATATACACATATATATACTGATAATTTCTTTATAAGAATGCGAGTTTCCTTGCTATTTTTGCAGCGTTCCTTCAACCGCTCAAATTTAAGAAGTAATCTCGTTCTTCATCTCTCTTTTTTCCATTCTTTTTCTTTCATAAATTAGATATACCTACATATAAAAAATAATCCGCTCTACGAATACCAAACGCGAAGTAATCGCAGAGCTAGGGGATTGGACTCGATCGCTACGACACGAACAAGGCGCAATCCGACGAATGTATGTATAGAGTATATGAGACGGGACGGAAATCCCTCTGCTGATGCCTGCGCGGTGGAGAGAGAGAGAGCCAGAAGGCCGGCAGAACCAGGCTGAACCAGGCAAAACTGCTAGCCAGCAGAAGCAGGTACCCTGTAAAGAAGCGAACAAGCATACGTAGGCAGGAGGGGAGGGATAAACAGACGTCACGTCACGCTAAGGCGCTGTTATGGCGCAATCCGTGGACGCGAGCCGACTCGGCCGAGCTGGAGCCGCTGGAAGACGAGAGTTTAGTCGCACCGAAAGCTTCGACGAGGGAGGACCGTAGCGCGTTCAGGCGGTGCCTGAATTCTCTTCGGCGACGATTCGTCGATTTTAATTCAATTCACAATGATCCGCCTAAAGGATCATTGTAGCACGCGTGATCGTTGTCCGTGATTGGTCGATCGATTCATGCAATCGCCTTTGTGATCGATTCATTTCTTCGTTCACATTTGAAATCACACTTCTACGTTTATTTAAACGCGCGCGTGTCGCGCGTCACACGCTGGATCGTGAACTGTTAATTGATCATTGTTGCGTGCGTGCGTGCGTGCGTGCGTGCGTGCGTGCATGCGTGCATGCATGCGTGCGTGCATGCATGCGTACACGCGTGTCCTCGTGAATGGCTTGCAAACTATTCCTTTTCTGAGAGAAAAAAACAAGATCTGTTTACTGTACAATATGAACGACATATGTAAAAAAAGTTAATTATTTTTCAAATACACATTTCTAAATTATTAAATTGAAGTGTGTGTGAAATCTACATTTCATCAAGTTCAATTTGCGTCGTGAAGGATAAATAAGTGACGTGTTAGGTTATCGTGTTGAAATCTCGCAGTTGTTGAAACTTGATTAAATTAAAACCAAGACTGAATCTACATTGGAGGAGAAGCACCGGTTAAATTGATCTCATTTAACGCACAAGCAAGTTAATTCAACTATTCGTCGAGATTGAATTTGACACGTCTCTTCAAATAAAGAGCTATGACAGGATTGTAATTAAAAGAACGCAACGTGAGTTCAATTGAATAAATAGTAAAATTAAATCTTTTTTCGAAAAGGCATTATATCTCTCTCTTATAGTCAAAATTTAAATTTAATTAACTCTCGCAATGTTTTTCTATCATCATTACATTTTCAATATAAATTAAATTTCTGTATTAAATTTGTACGTTTTCACAAAATTTTCTTACCAGAAATTTCAATTAAAATCAAGTTTATAAAATCTTATTGTATATGTGCATTTATCTCTCTTCTATTTCCGTATTTTACACTATTTTTCCTTTTTTTAGAGTTTTCGATTGAAACACTTCCACACGATGCTCGATCGTGACATCCCAGCATGCACGAGTTCCATAACACGGCGAGTGGCATATACGATAGAAAACGTGAGATAACGTTTACGACATAACATAATTTGGAAACCGTTTTTCGTGGAAAATGCGTTGGATTTTGTTGCCATTGTTGACGTTGATACGTGGTGCAATATGGTGCGTGCACGGCGCCTGCGAGCCGATCAGAATCGAGATGTGTCGTGGCCTTGGCTACAATGTCACTGTCATGCCGAATCTAGTTGGTCACGAGATTCAAGGCGATGCCGATTTTACCTTACAAACCTTCAGCCCGCTCATTCAATACGGATGCAGGTACGTACAAAATGAGTGCGCTAGCTTTCTTCGCAATCGTTTGTCGATCAATAATACGAAGAGCGTTTTGATCGATAATAATAATTTAACCGTATTTGACGCGAAATGAGATTATTCTTTTCCACAAAAATGTACAACCAACCTTTATATCTTTATGTACGTAAAACGTACACATTATTTACATAAAATTGGGAGTACAAATTAGTTCGGTCTGTTTTCCAAAAGATGATCGCCTCCAAAGACGAGTCATTTTTTTGAGATGGAATTCGAAAATTGCCTGAGAGATGGGAAAAAGTAGTAGCCAGCGATGGACAATACTTTAATTATAATCTGTTCATTCATTTTGTTTTGAAATAAATGCATTTTTGAACACAAAAAACGGACCGAACTAATTTGTACACCTAATATATCAGCTGCGATTTCATATTAGATATCTTTTTTAACAATATATCCTCTCATCTTTGAAACTTGGAACAATTAAAAAATGATAAATAACTTTTTTTTAAGCAGAATCATCTGATTTTTGCATCTCGTTTGTAACTTGTTGCAGTGCGCAACTGCATCTGTTCTTGTGTTCGGTGTATGCTCCGATGTGTACCGAGAAGGTTCCCGCACCTATAGGTCCCTGTCGAGGTCTGTGCGAACAAGTGCGGGCACGCTGTTACCCGGTTCTTCAGGGATTCGGTTTTCCCTGGCCCGCCGCGTTGAACTGTTCCAAGTTTCCACCGGAAAACAATCACCAGCATATGTGTATGGAAGGGCCGGGCGAGCCAGGACCGGCTAATCCTATTCAGGTATTTAGAGCCTATCGATATGAAGACGAATGATTCAGCCGAAAACGAAATGTAACCGCGATTAATCAAATTGTTGCTCGACGACATATAATATTATCGTATTGTTTATCTATCCAGGCGGTAAGCACTAATAACGGACCCTGGGGCTGTTCCTGGTACGCCAAGTCTGGATTATACATCTTTCTGAATCGCTCTGGAAGATGCGCCGCCGCTTGCGATGCTGATATTCTTTGGTCACAGAAGGACAAGAGGCTCGCGGAGGCCTGGATGGCCGTATTCGTAACGGTATGCCTAGTCTCTGTCGCGATCGCTATCCTGACATTATTGAAGCCACGCAAACGGCCTCTACTGACTAGCCCCGCAGGTAAGAATCTTTTGCAAAGTGAAGCCATTTCTACTTGAAATTGCGAAAGGATATGATGCTATTCTCCGCGCGTTATAACTTTTCATTTAATTGAATTAAATCTTTCGAGATCTCAACAAGCTATATTATTATGGCGGTCGTTTCATCGATTCTGCAAATGCTATTTTTTTCATGTTCTATTGGATTTAAATTCTTACAAACATATTATAGATAGATCAAATGACAAAGATTATATTTGCTTACAGAGCGTGCGATAGTCTTTTTGACAATTTGTCATGCGGCAGTCGCAATTGGTTACGTGATTCGATTGGCTGCCGGCCGGCTAAATGTCGCCTGCACTCCCGTGATTTCGTTACATCCACAGGATCAAGCTGTTATAGCCCAGCAGCAGCAACAGTACCTAACACAAGACGGCCTAGCTAATCCATATTGCGCCGTCGTTTTTCTGCTACTCTATTATTTTGGAAACGCAGCGATCGTTTGGTAAGTTCATTCCCCTTTTTTTTTTGCATCACATTTCAAGATAATTGATGATTGTAAACTACCGCGCGATTGGAACATCGATTACATCTCCGTTTAATTTGTCGTATATTTATAAACAACGCAGAGAGGACGTTTGGCTGATGCAGTTTCGTTTAGTGGAAAAAAAGAATTTCAACAAGTTTTCTTTATCGCGTGTTATCACTAGAGTTTAATTACGCACAGGTGTGAGAATCAAATAATACTCTCATAACATGTTTCAAAGTTGTCGGGTGTTGCACAGCGCCTTGTTGCACTCGCCTTGCTGTGGCGAGACTGCATCGTCCGAGGTAGGGATAACAATCTGGCAACAGTGTTGACTCCCCTCGTGCCGCTAACGAGCCTCTGACTCCCATCTCGTCCCATCCCATCTCATCCCGTTTATACTGAGAGAGGCTCATCTTAACGTGTCTAACGGGTGGCATACTTAAGTAAAAAATTATCCGTTTGCTCGTGTATTTGTTTCGATAATCTAATTGTTATGTCGTGTCTTGTATAAAAAAAAACTCAAGAGAGTCTCAATGTGTGTTTTTGTAGAAAATCTACTTTCTAATACGATACAAATGTACATATTTGTTAATTACAAATTATAGAATTTTACGATGCGCAAAGAGATGTTACAATTATAAAATTTCAATATTCGTCTATTATGAAAAGAAAGAGCTTTGTAAAAGATTATTCTTCGATTCTTAATTATTTTCATCAAATTTTTGACTTTTCAGAACTTTTAGATTTTTTAATATCTAAACTACCGCTACTGTAGTCTTCAGATTTTCATCCACATATATTTTTTAGAATCTTAATAGGTACCTTGCGTTCGTAAATCTTTTATTCGGATAAATGAGGATCACCCGGTATGTAAGGTGGGTCGGAGAGGAACCTTGTTGCCAGATATGCATGGAGTCAATGGCATTCCATCTTAGAGAAAGCAAGTTGCTTGAGAAGGAAAAAGAAAGTGCGAGAAAAGCAGAATGAGAGAGAGAGAGAGAGAAACGAGACGAGAAGGTGGAAGATGGACGAAACGACGCTTCCAACAAAAACAAGATGATTCACATACGAATACCATTTGTGGTTGTAATTGTACAAACGAGTTTTGCAAAATCGATCGTCTTATAATCTCTCATGAGTTTTCAAATTTATTTAAACATACAATTATTAATCCAGGCATATAAATATTGCAATTTTTTTTCACTTCCTCTTCGATCTTCATCGATTTCGAATTCATGTTCTCGTTTACTAATTTTAAAACTCGTTCAGACTTGGGGCTTTACACTGAAAAGCATCAAGTTTTAAATGAGAAATCAGTACGCGCGGTTAAACCCTATCTCGCGAAGATCCGACCCTGAACTCGAAGCCCGAATACTTTTGCGCGCCGTGCCGTAGCGAACTCTATAGCGTATGGCCATAATTTACATCGAAAGAGCCGATAAACATCGCGCCCTCCGGACACGAAACCACGAAGCTATGCACCATGGACCCATAGGGTCCTAGCCATGCATTGTCCTGTCTCGCCTTCCATACCACCTCCCTTTTCACATTATTCCCGCAACATGTGTCAAGTTTACGTGAAAAGCAACGAGATTCCTTTAAAACAGATATGACTCATTTTCGAAAATTCTCCAATTTGTAAGCTCTATTTTTAATAGAGCTCCACCACAAGAATTTATGTGCGTTTGATAAAAAAAACTGATCTTTTAATTTTCTATTTGTATCTTCACGATAGTTGTGAGAGTTAAATTACTAATGAAATATTTTGTTAAAATTAAAAATATAATATACAACAGATACATAGAAATTTTTAAAATTTTCCAAAAATTATCAAATGACGCGAGATTCAATCTATTGAAATCTTCTGTCCTCTCGCGAAGAATCGATAATCGGCGTTGCTACGCCATTGACAGAGAGGATCGTACGGCCCCATGGTGGTAGGTAATCCGGCAGTTTCGTGTTTCCGTTTCTCTCTTTTCTCTCCTTCCTTCCCGTTCCTCTCCTCTGCCTCCCTGCTCCAAGAGTTTGACGGCCGTCTCAAGAACGAAGGAAGAAAAAGGACAAGTCGAAAGAAGGGCTCGAGGAAAGAGCTGATCCATCATCTCTCTCTCGGTGCCCAACCCGAGCCTTAAGGACCCGGATCCGAGAATTTCTCGATAATTTATCCAAGATAAGAGCTCTACTGAGAGCGACTACGCGTCAGAGTGAGGAACGCTGAACCATCCCGATAACAAGTCTTCAGCGTTATCTGGCGCGTTTGTCTATTTCGAGGAAGACGAAACGTCACTGCATTCTTTTTTTTGTCCTTATAATATAAATACGTTGGACATATATATATATATCGTAAAGCATATACTTTAGACGATCTATATAATTCAAAGCAAGATTCTATGTATGACTTTACGTTTTTTAAACACATTTTTTACTACACAACACATAAAACTAATTGGAAGGAAAATTTTATTGCGAAATCCGAATCAATTAACTATAAAGAATTACTTCAACATATCAAATTAAATTCGACAAATATACGCGTTTCGACACAGACTTTCCATCTTTTCCTTTCCGAACAATGTTATTTGTTTTGGACATTTCGTTTGCATCTCATCTCATCACAATGAGATTCAGAAATTTGCCTTGCAATTACTTTCGAATACAACTTATAGTTGAATCACAACGATTTGCGTATGTAAATCACGTATACGTAAACGAATTTTTCTATGCGAGTGAATGTTGATCGACATCAATTTTTCCGAATTCATCGTGAGAGAAGATCGCGAGCGAAACGATCGAGTGGAAACGGGAAGAACGCGCGCGCGCGCGAAAAAGAGAAAGAAAGAGTGAGTGAAAGGGGAGGAAGCATCGGCGGGTAGGGATCCCGCGGGGTATATAATCAGCGAGATGAGATGAGAGGGGCACTAGCTACCTCTTGTTTGTTTTGTTAGTTAGCGAGTCGTTAGGTAGTCTCTCCTCTCTCTCTCTCTCTCTCTCTCTGCCCTCCTCCCGCGACCAAGTCCGAGTTGCACGGAAACTGCGAGTGGTCGACCACCCAGCCGTGTAGCTAGCAGCGTGGGTAGCGAGGTTACGAAGAGAGAGAGAGAGAGATA